GCTATGAATAGAATTATTGTCACTAATACTATAGCAGTAGTAATTATAGAAATGGAGTTTCTAATCATAATTATTTTACCAATTAATTTAGTGTAATTATATGTAATTACAAATATCATCAAAAGCACTTTCTCTCAGCGTTTAATATTTTCGCATATATTTGCGAAATAGGAAACTAAAACGGAAATATATAAATCAGAAAAAGTACTACATTTACTTTGCCCGCGGAACCACGCCAAGTACCCGGATGGGATCTTATCTTCCGAGGCGTTTCTTTAAACAAATCTTTCGGCAAGGTATATTGTGTTGGACTTGGTTCTTCACACACCTTTTCTTTAAATCTAACATCCATATAATCAAGACTAATGCTGCCCTGTAAATTATTGAATCTTAGACGATATCGAATATCCGCGCGTATGCCGATGCGGAAGAATTGCAAATAAATAAAGCATGAATAGGGAAAATGCACGTTCTGGTATACGTTTCCGTAGCGTTTCTATATTGTAAGAACCAGGACCCGGGAACTTATGCACATCTTTTGGTATGCCGAGTGTCTGCCTGCTAGCCCCGCTCAAAAATGGATAAGCGTTGTCTGTGGAATGTAGTCTATGTTACGTAATGGTACACGCGACGCGTGCGAATGCAAGTTTTACTGAAGAATTCGCGAATGTTGTGCATTATATAAGTTACCCAGATCTCGAGCTGGCTTTGATGGATCCGATATATCGTAAGTCGCCGGACCCACTCGAGCAGGAGTTGACGTAGCTATTTCCACGAATCTCTTCGTCCTGTCAAACGCCATGCCTTCGTACGTACAAAGAGAAAGGAAAACGATTTAAAGCGATTTATAACCTAAACGGATAAAAACTGATAAAAATCCACATTTGAGAACATATTGCGATCGCGTGACATAAAACAATACAAATTCCCTGCCAACGTTAAAATCTATAATTTACAATTTACATTATGTACACTATAAATTTTCAACACTGACCGTAAATTTTGGAACGCAGCTATATTGAGCCAAATTTTTAAATAATATTATCAACTGGAATATTGTAGCGCAATAATGCCGTTTGTCGCGTTGTCATATTTACAACATATTGTGATCTTATATACATCTGTATTATCTATAATTTCACATTAAATTAAATAAAAAAAAAAATATTATTCAATTTATAAATACATGGAAAGAATAGTTTTGCTAAAATATTTAAAAATTTAGCTAGATACAGATCCGAAAATAATTTCGTTAAACCATCAAAATAATTACGTATGATGTTCAAGCTGGTTGCTATAATAATAAAACTTTTTGCAGCATTAACATGAATGATTACATTGTACATAATTGATTTGATAGTTGAACAAAATTATTATTACTCTAGAATTTGTTATTATAATAAGCTAACCGTTTAACTTGTTAGCTAAATATATGTTTAGCTTGTTATTATAGGAACTTCGGTACATCTTAATATTTGAGAAGAGCGAGTAAGATAGGCAACAATAATCGCTTCTCTCAAAAATATTATTAGGATGTACGTACTAATTAATTAAAAAAAAAATATTTCAATATTTTCAATAAATCACATGTCGAGAATTTATTTTCATATATTTTGTTTATATAATTGAATATCAATTATGGTCTGATTTCAAATAACTTCGATTTCAAATTGCTAAAAACGTTTGAAGCGTTTGAATTGATTTCAAAACGTCGTGGCATTAAGAAATTTTCCACGCCAGTGGGTGCGCAAGACTAAACGGTCACGTGACCGAAATTTTGTAGTTACCGATCAGTTAGCATCGCGTCATCGCGCCTCGCCCGTGCGTAATCAAAAAGCAACAATGCTTCGCGCGCGTATGTGTGTGTGTGTGTGTGTGTGTGTTTCCGCGGTGTGCTTACTCGGTTGTTTCGGCTAAATTTCGCGTACGAGTATTCGGAGTATCGGAATATCGGATTCAGTTCAGTGATGAATCGTCGCAGAGTGATCGGTTCTTGTGTAACCGCCATCAGCGCGTATCTCGGACATTCGCGATCGACCGTCGTGTTGTGTCTCGTTTGTTTTTTTAAATATGCGGGCCACATATTCCTTCGTATTTCAGCAATATGGAGCACAGAGGACTACGAAGAGGAATAAGGATTAACGGAGGATATTATTTAACAGCGGGAGATCGATCGGCGCGCGGTTCAGCTACCGGTAAGTTCTCGCACGTTATTTTTCGACTTGGGTTTTTTCCATCGCATGTTGTTTTGCTGCATGTTTCCCTGAATTACTTGGAATTGTTGGCAAGGGCCGCGTCACCCATCTCCCTCTCTCTGCCGCTCATCGCCGTTTTCTCAACGCTTGAACGATTAGGCGATGCTAACAATTTAAGTCGAAACAACCTGTGCGTTAGATCGCCCTTTATCTGATTTCGGCGAAATAATCGGCACGAAAAATCCCGTAACAAGTCACAGGAAGTGAAATGTCTGGAAATATTTAGGAGTAAATATTTCGTTTATTCAAAAATATATCTTGAGAGTACATCTTTTCTTAAATGACACTTAGATTTAATTAATTTTTAATACACACCTTTAGGCAGGGTTGGGTAGTAACTAGTTAAAACGTTAAAAGTTAAAAAAAAAGTTAAAAAGTTAATAACTTTTAATTCAACTTAGTTAATTTTAAATGTATTAATTTTTAATTAATTAGTTATTACTTAATTTAGTTGCTTTTAAACTTTAATTTATTCACTTTTTTTAAATTAAAAAATTTTCTACAACTCTCTTAATGCTAATATTTTTTTTCTATAAAGTTTTAAACATTAGAGAATTAATTTAGATAAAGTTCAATGATTTTATAATGAGAGACTATAATTAGTCATACCATATAGTAGTCAGTTTTTATTAACTCGCTAGGTTTTGTCAATTCCCGCTTATATTTCAATCACACTAATTTTATCATAAATGTTATATTTCAACAACATAAATGTGAAATAAACCTCAGATGAAAAGCCTTATTGTAGAACAGTATTGCACATCCACCTATTTTCTACATTTTTATATATATTTCGTGTAACAAATATCTAGTCGATGTAGTCATAAACATGCATGAGCAGTCATTTCAGAAGTTAAAGAAAGTTAGATAATGGTTGAAGAAAGAGAAATAATGCAAACATATACCCTTCTCTCTCGCAAAATTTTAACAAAAACGCTTTATGTTGTGACCTTACTATATATAAGTAACTTACATGTGAAATTAAATTTACCTAATAATCTATATTTGTAAGTGTTATTTAAAGTAATCTCATTTTAAGAAAAATTAGAACAGTCTGATCTCGAAAATAATTTTTTTTTAAATTAACTTTTTCTAAAACTTAATTCAATCTTAACTTTTATTAAGTTAATTCTTTATTCCTTCAACTTTTAACTTAATTTTATAAATTTTATAAGCCATTAATTTAATTTAATTTAACTTAATTTAGTTAAAAAAAAAACCATTAACTTATCCAACCCTGTCTTTAAGTCATTCGTGTCCTGTCCATTTCTTTTGTTTGAAATACTAAGAGCACCTGGTCAAATACCGGTCTCTTTTCTATTTCTAAAAAAAAGTTTGGCATCTAGAAAACAAGTTTTGTACGTTTTGTACCGGCTTCAATTCGTGCGTATCTTTTAACTAGCTATAACTCCAAAGTTCACCTCTACATTACGAATGATCCAATGTGTATTAAAGATTACCGATTAATATCGGCTGCAATAAGAGGAAAGAAAATAGAAATATAATTATTTACGAATGTAAACAATAATTTTTGAAATAGATGACGCCTAGTGTAGAAAATTTTTTTTTAAATAGAAGTAATAAATATAATAATAATAATAATAATTGTTTAATTAATAATATAATAGTTTAATTTATAATTACATTAGTTTAACTACATTATGAAATATGCTAATTATTAACTAAATTAGAATTTGATTTACAAATATGAAATATAATATAACGAGATTATTAAGTATGTAAATAAATATAAGTAAATAAATTAAGTAAATAATGTAAATAAATTAACAATAATGACAATGATTTTTAATATACAGGATGTTTGAGACTTCCTGTACAAATTTTTTTGAAATGAAGGGAAGTGGAAGGAAAGAAGGAAAATCTTTTTATATTCAGTAAATATTTCTGGCAAAAATAAAAATCAGAGTCGAATGTAAAGGGAGAAAAATAAAAACATAAACAAAACGTAAAAGAGGTTTACATTTCTTGTACGTTTCAGTGTTTCAATTTTTACCTTCTATTATAGAAGTTTCGTTTATGCTTTTGTTACTTTCCCCTTACGTTTTTTTCACTTATATTCCGAGTTTTATTTTCGTCAGGGATTTTGTTAGTATTGTTCAAACAATTTTTAAAATTTTGATTTATTTTTGCAGTGCGTAATTCAAGATGCAACTGAATTTATAATTCTGAAATTATAATTTATACAAATTTTATTATGTCTTTAATAAATACAATTATATAATTATCATCTATTAACGTAAATGCGAAAATCGATAACATTTATGACGAATATACGAATATATCATAAAGTAAGATAAAAGCGTCTATTATTAAAGTATAAAATTTTTTCGAATTGAAACAATCTTATAAAAGAATAAACACGGAATTACATATATATTTATATTAAAATACTTATCGTAATATTAAATCATTTAGCAATCAACATTGTACGAAGATTGTCAGTTATTTTTAATTAAAAGTATCTATCACAGTCTTTTTTATTTGAAATGTATTCAAGAGTTCTTTAATAAGTATCTTTTTTTACTTAAGATATATGTTTAAGAATTACTTTTTGCAATTGTATATTTTCTTCAAGAAAAATACTCAAGAGAATTATTATTAAAAAAAAAATTTTTATTATTAATAGTCGATAAGAACCGATTCGAAGTTGTTCCGTTGCTCTGCCGTCAGAGTACGCTATCGGTATTGTTAAGCTGGCCTCATATTTCAATCCGGTCGATAATTCGAAATGTTTCCACATGGAAACGTGGTTGGAGTCTATTAACAAAGCTGCGTAACCGTTGCTACCTGTAGCGATAGCGAGTACTCATTTAACGTGACGATTATTGCAGTTTTTTTTTTCGCAAAATAAATTGTGATACGCATAAATTTTAACGGACAATGACGAAAACCGAGGACCAATTTGATGGAATGTTGCTGGCATTGGCACAGCAACATGAAGGTGGTGTGCAGGATGTAAGTAATTGTCTTGTTTGAGGTTATCTCGCGCGATGAAATATTTATATTTTCATAAGTCTGTCTAAAAGACACGAAGATTTCGCTTTTCTCTTTTAGTTGCTGGATACTTTCTTCAATTTTCTTGCGAGAAAAACAGATTTTTATACCGGTGGTGGCGAAGGAGCAGCTGAAAAGGTAATTGTGTATGCAAGAGGTAACACAAAATTATTTTCTTTTATTATCATTCAAAACAGTTCCACATTGACCGGATTTGCTCTTTTCATTTGCAGCTTGTGATGAGCAAATTCAAAAAATATGAAGCCGGTGCTCTCGCCAAAGCTGCTTCTGATAAAGCAGAAAGAGCAGAACAAGAGAGAAGACGTAAGGAGAGACTGGAGAAGAAGAGAAAAGAAGAACAAGCGGAAGAAGAGAAAATAGACAATGATTCTAAAATAGTTGAATTAACTGACGAACAGGCTGTTAAATTACAAGAAGAAATAGACAACAAGGTATTTATATAGTAAAATACTATAATGTTTATTTTTTTTAGTTTTGCTTTATGATTTTTTGATTATAATTGATTTGACGAAAATCGATGGTCTTCGAAATAAAATTATCGCATATTATTTGAGACATGTCCTATTACTCACTGCATACAGAAAACCTATAGTCATGTATATACTATAGATTTTCAATACTTGCAGTGAATTACGTAGCTATAGTATCGTTAAGATTATATGCGTATTTGTTCGTATCTGCATATCGACTGATCAACTTTGCACTCTTTGGATCAGCTATTTCTTATCTGTTAATATTTTAAATCTTTTCTTCCATTTTGTAATATTTGAAAAGACATTTAAAATAATTGTCTATTGTTGAATATATTATTATCATATATGGTAAAGAAAAATGCAGAAGCGAGAGAATCCATCTAGGATTTTAAACTTTTAAAAACTTATATAAAAATGGAAAGAATATTGATATTCTGTTATATTCGTACTAGCCGATCCATGGGCATGTATATCCCTATGTGTGTCCAAAATACATGTATTGGAAACCTTATTTGACACTAGTATTGTGGCTAATTGTGTATCATAGTTTTTTTTAAAGATATCAAAGGCATTCTAAATTATATAATACTCAATTACATAATTTTTTGTTGTACAGAAATTAGCAAATGCTGCTGTAGCAGGATCTAGCAACGATTCTAGTGATAGTGCTACAAATGACAAAAATACAGATTCGAATAGTGGCAACGTATCTGATGAGGAAGAAGATGAAAAGGAGAAAAATAAACTAAAGCCTAACAGCGGTAATGGTGCAGACATGCCGAATTACAGATGGACACAAACTCTTGGAGAAGTGGAGGTAAGTGCTTATAGAGTTGTATTTTTTCTATGATCAACTGCATATGTGGCGCGCCGAAACATTTTTTTATATATTCATAAAAGTTGGAAAACTATTTTCAAATATCAAATTTTTGTTTATAAGCAGCAATTTATTTTAATTTTGATAGCAATAATCGAGTTATCGAAATATCGAAATTGTGGCTAATAAATAGTAAAGCTAATAGATTAATTAATAGATTAATATGCTAATAGACTATTGTTTTATAAAATTCTTTTAATTTAAAAAGTTTTATATTGTATTCTTAAATTACATATGAATTCGCGTTTACGCCAATAAATAATTATCGTGCAATCTAGGCATAAT